GACAGATACACACGGTACCTACCCATGGCAACAAACCATAATTGGAGCAGTAACAGGGGCTCACCTTGTCAGTGCTCTGAATTGGCCTTGCAAAACAAATATATCCTCTGTTTCATTGGCCTCTGAGTTTTTTACACCATGGCAAAGAAACACTGAAATCCTTCACATTTAGCCCTGTGCTGGGTTGAAACTGTAATATTCTCAGTCGGTAGCAAGTGATATAAGAGCTGAGGACTCTCCATGTACTTGAGTGTGTGAGACCAGAGGACAGGCAGAGAGCTTTCCTGAATTAAAGTTGTATTTCCACGTCTGGGCTCAGTCCCTGCCTTTCCACCTGCTGGCATCACGGAGAGGGCATTTCTAAGATCAGCCTCCAGCCTTTTTCATATTCTATGTATTTGGGGGGGGGTTTCTTTAATGAATAGTGATCTCTTTGGAAGGAAATAAAGCACACATTTCTTTTCTTCCAAAACATAAAGAGATACTTATTGGAGTATCAAACAGATCTTGAAGCCTAAGGTAACCAGATGCAATGCATCTGCCTCTGCCTTTCAGAAGTCAGCAGAATACACGGATCTATCGCTGTGGCACTCTGAAAATCCGCTTTCAAAATAGACTGCATACAAAATAACTTGCAGCGACTTAAATACGTTAATAACTTAAGAACTTAAATAAGCTGATATTTGATGTGACCTACATTAATGGCGAGGCATTACATGGCAGATAAGCAGAAAGTTCTCATATATTGTATAATAAATGGTTTATTCATAACATAAACATATTGAGAAAAGGATATGCTCTGGCATTCTGTCTACTTATTTTTTCCCCAGAAAAAAAAAAAGGTAAAAATTATGTAAGAAGATCATGCTGGTGAGAAGATATTCATATCACAACAGCAACAGACATAGAAGCAGGGCTGCCAGATACTTCTTTATGGTTGGAAAGATATAGAGAAAAGCACATAGGTTGCACCACAGTGCACCCATAATTCTAACTACCAGCCCAAGAGTGGAAGCAGTTCACAGAAGAGGCTAATGGCTTTACCCTGACTGATATCATTGCATTAATAAAAATCATCAATAAAAGCATCAGTTCCTGCTGTACTGTAAATGAGACAGTGGCTGAGTGTGCACTGCAGCTGCAAGATAAGGCACTAGAAAGATATCTAAATTTTTGGCTAATTCTAGATGTCAAGATAATTGGATTTTCCAAATTAAACCTTTCTGTAGTTAAAGAGGATTAAGGTTAGGGACTGTAGCAGGGAAAGCTACTTGTCACTGTTATGAAGAATTTGCTGCTACAGTGCCATTTTTCTTCTTCTATGTCTGCTCTAAGCAGGCAAAATGGCAAGAGCTTCATAAAAATATTGAAGTAGTTATATTATTTGCCGTGAAAAGTTGGCATAGGAAAGCTTTGTTTCTTGCGCATCTACCTATTCATCTAAGCTCTTAAAGGAATTTTAGTGGCTGTTGAAGGGACAGTAGAAGATTGTTTAGGCTAAAATTTAAGTTCTAATAAAAGGTCTGTGAAATGTAATTACTAGATATGGTAGAATGTAAGGATATTGCAGACCCAAGGTGTTCAGAGAAGAGTATGTGATGTTGGGTCAAATATGCATTTAAACCCTTGATCAGAAAAAAAGTTTGTTGTTTAGGAATGTTTATGGCCTTTTTAATTGTCATAATAGCAATATACATCCCTCAAACTTTGTAAGCGCTTGTGTTTCATGAAAGAATTCATTGGTATTTTAATAGAAGTGCTGACAATATAAATACTCCTTGTGACACTTTGTCTCCAGATGGTTTCTCTGCAGACTTTTTCTGATTCCCCACACTTCCAAAACAGGCATACAAACCTCCTGACACAGCAGAGCATGAGTCAGTGCCATAATGACGAGAAGAAACCTTCCCTATTACCAGATTATTTTACAGCCTCTTTGTGAGCAAGTTCTTGCATCTTTGCTGAAGCAATAGATTATGTCTGCTGCTGAGGTGAACTACCAAATTCAGTGGACTTACATCAGTCAAGTCCTTACATTATTGTGCTTTGCTAAAGGAGCCCTTTCTTATAGTTTAAAACCATCTCAAGGACTTCACTTTCTAACTCAGCTGGAATTGAAGGGTGCAGCATAACACCATGTGATATCCCTGCAGAGCTCACCTGCACGGTGTGCAGGAAAAAAAAAAAATCATCTTTCGTTATCATCTTAATCAGTTTAGGAGCTAGCCCCATACTCACGAAACAGCCTGACGCTCCAAGGTCAGAACAGCAACATCCTCCCTGATGCATCTCAGAGGATATTACTGAAAGGACACCAAAGCACAAGCAAATGGAAAAAAAGACAGCTGAGTTTCCCTGTCCTCTCTGCAATGTCCAAGTCCCTTGGAGCCCTTGCAATCCTCTCCTCAGTGTGACCGTACCTTGAGTAGCTGCACGGTGTACAGATGTATGACAGATAATGTTCTGTAGGCATCCCTGTTTCCTGGACGCATTGCCAGATATTCATCCACAGGTATGGACTTCAGTGCATAAAGCTTAAACAGAAAAATCCTTAGGGATTTCATTGTATAAAGTTTTCTCCTCCAAAGTTTTTATGGGCTGAAGTTTTATATCCTTAAAGACTTTACCCCATAAAAATCCAAGAGGATAATAAAACAAATAGCATCTATGTCCAGGGTCAGTAGCTTGGGGAAAAAAAAATGCTCTTGAGTAATAATAATAGCTTCAGTAGTAGTATTGACTGGAAACTATGGATCTATTCTTCTCCCCATTGGCTGACATTTTGCCGTTATTGCCCTCTGCGCCAGTCACTATTTGCATGCTGTGCTGAGTAGCCATTGGTACATGGCAATGCAGAGATATTATAGGCATGACTTTGAACTGTTCTTGAGAATGATAAAGCCAAAAGTGAACTTTCCAGGCAGAATACAAAGCTTTTCTGGTCCAGCTGCCTATGTTTTAATCTTGCTGCCTCATTCCATATATTTTAAATCTGAAGTGTATAGATACACCCAAGACCACATGTACATGCTCATATTAATCCAGGTTAGGAAATGGCTGCGAAGCTCTAGAAAATCAGCAGAATACCCAACATCTCACACAAAATAAGGCTGACCTAATTCTGTGTCTATATTTACACATGAAATTCAGTAAAACTTGAACAAGCAGTTCTCTGGTTTTTTTAAAAATGTACCTTGGAAAGCTAGATTTGTACTGTTGTTTTGCTATTGATCCTCTAAGGGCCCTGAACAACAAGATAGTTAAAGTCCATAGAAATATGAAATCCTAAAATCACTTTCCTATAAATCAGTGCAGAGAGGAACAGACGCGGATCCATTTATGGGGCCCCAGGCTCTTGGCAGGAGGACACACTTGCTATTTTCTGGTCCGATACTTCCAGATCTGTGGCATTAACCGTGAATAACATGGCTGTGCCCATGGAAAGCTGGAACTTCTCACCAGGGGGGACACGTTATTACTGCTCTGGGTGGTCATGACACTATTACACACATTTGAAGCTTGTTAATTTTCCACAGCTATATACTGCCCACTCCAGACTGCTTCCATTCCTGTAAATGCAGGATAATGGGCTGACTAAATATAGTAATCTAAATGATAAACAAATCCCCAGTGAAACCCTCGACATCCAGGCAGAGTATTCAGTGTAAGAGCACTCAGTGTGCACATGTTGCAGCCTATCCCAATGTCTGCTCAAAACAATTACAGAATTTCTACAGTGGCTTTGCACACCACGTACCAATAAACAGGGTGGAAATAAACTGGCATAAGACCATATCAGAGGACCTGTTGTCTAAAGTCATTAAAGAGAAGGACATAGATACTAATCTAGTTGGCACTCTCAGCCTTCCATTCTGGGTTAGTGGGAGCAGTTGTCAGCTGAACAAATGACTCATGGAGGCACACCATGTCTTGGGTAATTCTACATAGATGGAGGATAGACTGGAGAACAAAAAGTGAGGACTTGTCAATAAAACACCAAGCTGGTTTCATCATGATACCCTCTGTGAATCACTTTGGTGTATAAGGTGAACTGGGAGATTCACACACCCTGTTAAAAACATGCTTTTCTGACCATCTCTACTAACTTTGTGTTAGTATTGTCACTATTAACCCTGTTTATACTTTTGCCAAGATACTTTAATGGAGCCTTGCAGTTTCCCCAGTTTCCAGAAAGGACTACCTGCATCAAGACAACAAAATCTTTCTTAGCAACAGATGCAGCTGAAGCAACATTGACTATAGTCTTACCCAAACACCAACCCAAGAGTAACTGAGCTCAACCTCCTTTGCACTGCTGGATAAGTGTCCCAAGCAAGGCTGTTTCCAGACTGGTAGCTCCTCCTGGCAGCTCCAGCACCAGTTCATTGGGGTCCACCGAGTGTGAAATCCACCTCTCCACATAAGACCAGCACAATGCATCATTTGAATCATTTGTAGAGGATTACAAGGTTCATAAGCTTTGTGTTGCCCTCTGCACAGGAGTGAATTTTACTCTTAATGCAAATGGTGTTTAAATGCAATATTTTAAGACTAATATTCCGTATAGGCACAGTGTCTGATTCATGCCAACTCAAGGGGTAATATGAATGCTTAGTATTGTTTAACCAGCTCCCAAGGACTGAATAAAACCCTCAGATGAAAGATGTGACCTTCAGAGAGCAGGGAATCACTTTTTCTTTTCATCTAAAAGATAATTTATCTAATATTTTTCTCCTTATTGAAGACATAGGCTCGTTTCACTGAAAACTGTTTACAAATGTTCTTTCTCCATTAAATTGATTTTCTGAGTATAGATAGGCACTATTTTGTGGAACTAATTTAAATTCCCCTCTAATTAATATTCAAGACCAAAATATGTTATCTTTGCATGACTGTGCAATTATTAAAGGGAAAATATCATCTGTGAAAGTAATTATTTTTCTTTTTTTTTTACTAGCCACTAACCAACTTGAAATGTATCATTTCTTTGCCTTTTTTAGTCTATGATTGAAGAAGCCATCACTAGAGAAGAATTTTTTTCAGTTATGTACACACCATTTGTGGGAAAACTGAAGACTGACACAATAAACAAGATAAAGGACATTTTTGCTAAAAACCACCCTGATTACGTGAAGCACATATATACAGGTAACAGCAGATTTCACAAGCTCTTAGACACTGAATACTGTTTGTGCGTGTGGCTGACAAAAAAAAGCTTGAGCCTTTACACTTCTACACTTCTGGGGGAGAAAACTTCTGAGATTTGCTCTATGATTGTAGGTGATTTAGGTAATCAAATCAGTACTTAGACGAAACACAGACTTTACACTGCAAATCCCATAAAGATGATTTTTATCCATGAAGCCTCATGATTCAGTTGTTGGATTTCATTATTGCAGCTAATCTTTTGTTCCAAGGTATATTTGCAGCACATTGCAGTGACAGTGAGAGCCAGGTTCATTCCTGTTTCTGTGGATTTCCGTCAGTCACCAATGGTCATCCCTGCAGCAGGGCCTTCACTTTCCAGAAATATCCCCCAGTCTATGAGGACTAATGGAATGACTGCCGCCTTTGAGAGCATCTCAGCTGCAGGAATGGGAGTGCATAGCCAGGTTTCCTTTAGCCTGTTGAGGACAAGTAGGAACCAGAGTGAACAAGGGCTTTGCAGAGATACCCTTTGTCATCTCCTGGCAGAGTGAACTCAGATAGCATCTCCTGGAGTAAACAGATTAAATTCTGGTTCTTACTTCAGGAGGAACAGACATGACATTTTGGCAAGAGAGAAGCAGTGGGATAAAAGGCATTTCTTACTATGATTAACCTGGTGACTTGGAACAGAGTTGACTCTGACAACACTTGGCTTTGAGCTGTTGATTGAGAAAGAGAAAGGGAAAATTACATTTCTTAAGTCAAATTCTGGAAAGCCTCTGTCTTTCCCACACAAACTATCGTGTAGCTCATCCCTCACTGTCACTTCCAGCAGGGTGGTCCCAAAGGCTGAGATGATGCCTGCTCCCTGCAGGAGTTGCACACAGGTCAGAGATGATGGCTGAGCCCCAGCTTTTTGCCAATAACTAAGTTTTCAAAAAAAATGCACATTGTGTTTTTGGGGTGGAAAAGAAAATCTATTAAAAAAAACACAAATAGGAATTAGGAAACCAAGTGTTTACCGCAAAGCTGCGGAAATATTTAACACAAGTAAACTTGTTTTATTAATTTTTGTTTTGCTTCAGGAAACTAGTATAAAACTCTATTTTTGTTTTGCAAGTTGCAAACCACCCACATATTGGGTTTCCGACATTAGATTTGGGGTTGTTCAAAGAGGGAAAATTAGGGCTTACCTATCACAGGTGTTTAAAAAATCCTTGTCTACCATTTACTTGCTGATGTGACTTTGTGAAGAATTTACTGGGACAAAAGTATTGGCATTAAAGGGAACATAAAATAAAACTCCCTGAATCTGATTTTTAAAAAGATAAATTAATATCTCACATAAGTCCCTCAATTTACTGCAAGGGTGTGACTTTCAGGAGCCCATAAGCAGCAAAAGTGTGCAAAAGTTGCACTGAAACTCAGTTTGTGTTCATAAATCACTGTATGGCATTGAAAATGTCACCAGTCATTTTCTTACTCCTCCCAGTAAGGAAAAGGATGAAGGGGAAAAAAAAGGTGGGGGTAGGGGGGGAGGTAAAAGGTCTCAGTTCTATAGTACTTTAGTCAATTATAAAACAGATTGAATAGAGCCAGTTCTATCAGTTAAAATAATTGCTTCAATTTTACACAAGTTTATCCAAGTGCAGGTTCTAGAATCACTGAAGTGTCTAGGAGTTAAATGGATAGATAGCCAAGAAAAAACAATACCAGTATCGGGATTTTGAGAGTGCAGTGGTGTGAGAGGTCTCGTACAGGTGGGACCTCTCCCAGTGTCCCTCCTTTCTGTGTTGGAAACCCTCTCTGAGCAGATGTGGCTCCTTTTCCTAGACTTTGGGCTGAGATAACTCACAACAGTGTTAGGTGAAGTCAACCGAAGCAGCAGGAGTTACTCAACTTATCTGTTCAGATCTCACCTAAAAATCACACTGTCCACAAAAAAAAAAAAATCACAGGCAACAAGTTCAGCTCATCGTCGGCATGGTAGCCTGGGGTATTCAGTCTGCAGGTCTGTATCTCACACAGGTGCAATTAAAAATATGTTCTAAGCCCCATTTTAACAGTGGGTATGAAATACTAGGCGTCTCACAAACGTGTTATTTTAAATAACCTTCCTATTCTGTAACAATCATCTGTCCAATTTTAGTCCAAGTTCTGTTAGAGTGTAAGGACTGAATTGATTTCAAAGCTTTCCTTATTGCCAAGGAAAAGGAGCAGATAAGCATTTAAATCCAAGTGTATGATGCAGTTTGTCGCAAAATTGAGAATCCTTCAGAAGCAGAATATGGTGCAAGGGAAATATCAGGTCCACTCGCTTTGATTTATATGGGGGTAAGTCTGGAGAGCTCGGAGTTGGGTTCTCCATTTGTCTCTGTGACCGCACAGCCTGGCATCTTAAAAGCAGAGCTCACTGAAAACAGAGTACTCCTTTGTGGAAAGCGACACTGACATTCAATCTAGGTTTATTTTTTGCAGGGGAAGGGGAGGGAGGAAAGGACTGGCCTGGTTTCCTCAGCAAAGGTGGTTTATGCAATTGCTCAGAGCATCTGTACTCGCCGAGGTCAGGGCAGACCCACTCAGCTGATACACAGGGTTTTTGGCAGCGGCAGACACAAACTCTGGACAAGGCACAGCACAGGCTGTCACATGCCAGCTGGGTGGATCAGAAAGGGTATGCAGGGAGCCTGGGATTATGGTGGTGGTGATGGTAAAAACAGAAATCTGCATTAAATCAAACCTCACAAATTCAGGGAACAACAAAACAGCTTCCTTTGTAGTTAAAAGATCAGGATGTTATGTTACTGAAGCATTAAGTTATTAATGTGTTAGATGATCAGTATGCACTTTTCAGTGCATAAATAGAAAAAATATGTTTTATCTTATGTATCGGCAAAGTCTAAGTTGTTGATGCAAAAGTCTGCGAAGTCTGGAATTCCAAAACCCAGTTATAGCTGGATGGGTTGGTTTGGTCATCTTTGTTTTGGCAAGCTTTCTGGATTACATTTCACTCTTCCTTAGACTTCCTCTTTTCCCTCCAAAAAGGTAACTTCCCTCACAACTGAAAAGAAATGTGACAGTGGAAATAATTTTAATTTCTCCATTCCAGTTCCTCATGGACATCACTTCTTGCCACAGACAGCTGAGTGGTCGTCTCCCCAGAAGCACTGGCTGACTCTGGGCTTCAGAAACAAACATATTGGAAAAACCTTGGAAAGGTGGTCAAATAGAAAACTACCAATCTTTACAGGTACGCCAACTTGTTTAATAGCTGGGGTAGCTCAGGGGTGACCTCCATAGTCCTTGCTAAATGAGGGGGGATTGGGGAGTTCATTGGGACCCAGCCGGAGACTGTCCAGACAGTTCTCACCATCCTGCTCTCTCCTCCTCAAGTTTACCTATCATCTTCCTAGATCTTCTGTGGAAAATGTATGTGAATAAGCATAGTATATGGTCTGGTGATTTTGTTTCCTAGACCGGAAAGCACCTTTCAGTCTTCTCACGGAAGAAGAAACACAAAAATATTGGGATAACACAGGAAAAAGGATCGTGCCAGTAATGGATTTTATAAGTAGCACCAAATTAACTGTGAGTACAGAATTCATTTTCGGGTGCATAGTGCATATTGTGGCAGAAGCCTGTACATGAGTGAATGAGGTGCTTTTTGGTGGGTAATCCATTCTGTACATGCTCCTCCAGGAATGTGCAGTGAATTGCAATAGGAGTAGAGCCCAAATGGGTTTAAAATACTTTTGAAAATTACCCCTAATTATTTAACAGCATATCCAGTTGTTTTAAAATCACTTTGCATGCAATTTTCCTCAAATATTTATGGCCTATTATATTATATTCTTACTGCACATAACCACTAAAACGACACACTGTATTTAATACCTGTAGTATACTACACATATCACCAGGATCTGGTGATAACCATCAAGAGTTAATAATTGGTACTTGAAGCATATCTAGTGATTCAGATCCTGATCCCTATGTAGTGAAGTATGTGAAATAACCTTCAAATCTGTTACAACCATATTGAAGGTATATTAGTTAATTCTACTCCATACTTTCTGCAATAATGTACACAGCTTTTTAACACTATGGCTTCTGATTTGCACAAAAGGTCAAAAATGAAATTTGCATGTAGACTGTTTTAATGCAATTCTTAAATTATTCTCCTGAAAATACGTGGAAGAAGCCTGTCCTCCCCAGACTGTAAATGTGTTGAAGGAATCAGAGCCATTTCCTCGTCAGGGGTGTCTTAGCAAATCACAGGATTTATATTCTTAGGTTTTGATACCAGATAGAAGGTTGACAAAAACTGCTACTTAGCAACCTTTTGCAAGGAAGAAACCTTAGCTAGATATTTGAGGAAGCAAGGTCTCCTTTACTCTCAGAGAGCAGCTGCTGAAACAACAGCAGGCGCTTGAACCCACATGCTTAGTGAGAGGTAAAGGTGCTCAGTGCTTCACCAAAATGGGCGCTCATAAAGCATCTGGATGGGTGTGAGGCAAGGAGGAGCAGGCTAAGGGCAGACATCCCCAGGGAAACACACTGCTGCTTCTTTCCAGTTCTTTCCTGAAGCCACATGCTGTTGGCTTCAGATGACCAAAAGCCCAAGTTATTGATGTGTGGGCTGATAGAAGTGGCATCTTTGGGCAAGTGAAATATCTGTTATTACTGTGTGCATTCACTTCAAACATTTAAGATAGGAGTATAAGCAGACAGTGGGTTGGGTACTGGATACAGAATAAAACCCTCATCTTTCTGAAAAGCCCAGTAAAACTCCAATTTTAAAACTTTTTTTGACACCACAATCCTCTCTTTGGGTATAACATAGAGCTTTTAGAGGTGAGATTCTTCTATTGCAGTTATTCATCCTCTAAAGAGTATCAGGAAGAGAAAAAAACTTTGAAATGGAGTATCTTTTGGATTCTGCATAACTACCCTGTTCTGTAATGAACTTGGAGGAACAGGACCACATAGTTTAAGCAGAGATACACAGTACCTGGTATCCAGCATACAAGTAAAAGAAAACAAACTAATCACGTAAGAGATGAGAGCATAGTGGTGCTTTAGGATTGCTCAAGCCCATCCCCACTAGCTGTATGAACTTGCACTGCTCCTACACAGTAATATTTTCTACCAGCTCTAGACTTCTCCTCATACATTTAAATATTCTTGCTGAAACGGAAAAGTGCTCCCAAATTCTTACAGGGTGAAATCCCAGCACCACTGACATCAAGCAGCAAACTTGTTTTTTTCTCAAGGAAGTCAGCACCACATCCCCGTGGTTCAGGCAGGGTCTACCCCAGTGTCACCTCCAGCAGGAGCAAGACCAGGATAACAAGTCTGAACCATGGTCCTATAGATTTAGAACCAGACACCATGGGGTCAGTATGGGAGCTTTAATGGAGAGGAAAAAAGCCCCAAGACTGGAGAAATTATCACTGAGTTAGAACAAACAGCTGCCAATTTCACATCCATTATCGGTGGAAACACATTCCTTTTCCCTTCAGTTTTCATAGCATTGAATGATCCAGGCAAGACAGAACCTCTGACCCAATGAGCAGATGACAAAGCCAATTATACCTGATAATACAGATAGGCACAGAGCCAGAACTGCTCTGCTACTGCTGATTAAAACCTCTTTATGGGCCTGGCAGAGATTTGGCCACTTTTGCTTTCTTGAAGGTATTCCAAAATCATCTTCAAGCTAGAAATATGATTCCATCATATTTACGATTCAATAGTATTTCCATCACACACAAACTGAATTAAAAACCTCTGCAAAACAATCTTCAGATACAGACTCTAGCTTCACAGCTTACTTTAAGAAAATAAAAGAATATTTTTTTTTCTAATAAGACAAATATCCCTTTCTGCCATCTTCTTCATTTGCAAACACAAACATACTATCCAAAATGCTTATTGTAATCAGATCTTTTTTGACAAAAAAATCTCACTGCTAAAGCAGAGCTTATTAAACCATGGCAACACTTAATAAAAGTCAATTCTGCAACCTCAGTTTTGCAGCTATACAACCGAGAGTTAATTAAATGATTTATACACGTGCCACTGTTGGTAAGACTTGAAGTTAATGGTTAAAAAAAGCAGAGCATTGTCTGTTGCTCCCCCTTCTTCATAAAGAACATCCAGTCTCATTTAAACCAAGGGGCCATTTGTGTATTGTAAAACAAGCAGTGTCTGAGAAAGAATGTCACAGCCTGGTCCCCACACAGCATCATCTGCTGCAAAATGCCATAAACCTCACCAACCCAGAAATACATACCATGGCACAAAGATTATTGTATGTGCCTTAAAAAGTACATATCAGCAAGACCTTCAGCTACTTGTATTCCAGTCAAGACTACCAGCACTGACAAGTGGTTCTTCTACCAAGTGATTTCACTGGAGTGATTTCTGCTGCTTTGTACACACCAAGTTTTGCCTTTCTCCTGCTATAGTCCTATGTCAATGGCACATGGTGCTACTTAACAGGAGAAACAGTGGCCAGAGGGGCTTATTAGACTGCTCACATCATAAAGGTGAACAAAATCTGCCATATGATTCACAGCATGATGCGTGCATTTACAGATCTTGCTGCTTTGTTGTCTATTTGTTAAGTAGAGGGAAAGTGTTTACTACATACGGATTTCAGCATACACATTTTCTAGAGGATACCAAGGGCATTAAAGAAACATTATGATGGATTTTTTCCACTTGTTAATGCAATACACTACAGAGCTGCTTGCAAGGCATAACTTCATTCAGATTTTGAGCTGAAAAATAGCTGTAAAGAGTCCGTGCTAGAAAAGAAGAATTACTAGGGGGCATTTCAGACTTTTGCAAAGTGTTGCTTTTAAAGCTGATGGTTAAACATGCCATATGTATTGGATATGGCAGATCCTGCTTTAAATCCAGGGTAACCAGCCACTTTGATTTTATTTTCCCTTAGCACTCAGAAATTAAACTTTATTTATAAATATATGTGGCATACAGGATGACTCCTTTCCTGCGTATAGAAAGAAAACCAAAACAAAAAAAAAAGGTGGGGGTATCTTCCCAAATTTCTCAATACATGAAAGGACACATGATTCACTCCTCTCACATGCTCTCCAGCTCCTTTTTGCAATGAAAGCCTGTCCTATCTTTGCTCCAGCTGTTAGTGCTGAGTATTTAGCAGTAGCAGGTAGGCTCCATCCAGAACAGACTGATCTGCTTTTTGTAGGTACTTCTTCATCCCAAGGTCAGAAGAACAAAGATGTCCCAGAGCTGACATTAAGTCATCAGGACCTCATTGCTTTCCTAGAAGGAAGGTCTTCAAAGATGCCTCTGGGGATAAACAGCCTTTTTTGTTGATTGTTTAAAGGGAATTTCTGCAGCAGAAGTTTTCTGGGCAAAAGAAAACTTCCTCTCAGAGGGACCTCTGCCTCAGACAAGGCTGCCCATTAAGAATAAAGTCCTCAAGAGAAAGTCTATCAATTTCTCATTTTTACTTTTTTCTTTAAATTCTCATTGAAATACCAGACAATAGGGGTAAGGCCCATCTAGAAAGTAACTACATTGTAATTTAATCACTTATTGTCTTAATATGTTACTGCGTTTCTAACCAGGATGCTACCATGACTCCATATATTGTGTTTGTTCGTTCCTGTGCTATCCGATTCCTCAAATGTGTATGTCTTCTCTTTGTTAAAGGACCCAACTCTTTTCCACTGAAGTGTCCACCTAAGTTTGCTCTTTACTTAACCTTCACTGTGCGTTCCTGAGCTGGTTTCATCTTCATCTGATTGCTTGGCCACTTTATTATGTTTTTTACTGAAGCTTAGTAGCCCCTTGAATTCTGCTATAGTTCATGTAATTCTCATCATGTAGTAGTTCAGTTCCCTGCGGAATTTTTTCTCTTGCCAGCAGCAGTTATTTACTTTCTCTTTCTGCATTTTTCATTGTCACTGAAACACCACCTCTGACAATGTTCAGCCTCCTCTAATCCCTTGAAAAAAACCCCTGCTGTCAGTTATTTATTTATTACTTCTAACCTACTATAGACTTAAATAGCATTGCTATGTCCACAGAGTGTGTGTTGGCACTGATGCCAAATTTGTTTCCCATAGCTACGTGGCATGGTCTCGTATTTTTCTGGAGAGTCAAGCAGAGAAAAAATTGTTTTATTTTTTCCTTTACTTTCTTAATCATTGGAGAAGCCTCCAACAGACACAGCATGATGAGAGAGGATTTTTACCTGATTTCTTAGCTGATGACTCAATATACTCATTTCTTAGTGCTTACACAAAAAAGGTTTTGGGTGGATTTCAAGAATAGCAAGGAAAAAACCTTTTTCTGCATCTAAAATGTTATGAGACTATTTCATGTTGATAAGAGTTCTCTTTCTCATTAACTGATTGCTTCTCCCTATTTTCATGCACACAGCTCTACCTGGGGACTCAGCTATCTGGCTTTCAAACATCAATGACCAGGTGGAGATGGGGATCCCTTTTGTTCCTTGCTTTAGTGCCATGCTAACTGGACTGTGGCAGACTTACAATTTCACACATCAGAGATGACAGAAATCTTTGTTCTTGTTGATGTCTCCTCCTAATACTAGGTCAGGTCCTCATTAAAGGACTCTTCAAGTGACAAAAGTAGTTTGTAAGAAGGTTGTCCTGGTCTCCCTTCTTAGAGGTGGGTCAACAGAGGTTCATGAGAAGGTAGGCCTGGAAGGGCTCTCCTGGCTGCTCAAGTCTAATCACCTGCTATTATGCACCTTTGTGCCACATAATACCCTTTTTGAAACTTGAGTAAAATCCATCTTAGAATTAGTTAGACTTTCTGCCATTTCTGCTCTTGATGAAACACACTGCATACCTTCAACTTGAATTATAAGCAGCTTAATTGCTACCCTAGTCTTATTTGAATATATTTATACACAATGGTCCTTCTGTTATCATTGTCTTTTATCTCTCCTTCCCTTTCCAGTTGTTTGCTCTCTTTGGAATTTAGCCCTGCATTATGTTTATTGAGAAGAATAATAAGCTCTTGGCATTTTCATTAATAGACTAATCAGACCACACTTCTTTTGAAAGAGGTATCTCCTACCATGCTGGCTTCTCTGCTCCGTGATGCTTGGGTTTAAATTAACCTCTCCAAACACAGCTGACTGGAGCGATCTGCAATACTCCAGAGAACTGCTGACCAGGGCTCCTTGTCCCTGTGCGGTGCCTGATTCTCTCCTTCAGCAAATGGAAACACCAGTTCATTGGCTCAGCTCTTTCTTTTTCAGTTGCTTTCACATCTGAAGCTCCCAGATTATACCTGTACTCCTGCCATTGGTCTCCAAAGCATCATCTTCTATTTTATACTATTTTACAATTATATTACATATTATATTAAAAGGGATAAAATTAATTGTACTGAGATTATTTGTATTTTTCAGTGGACGAAAGAAAACTAAGCTTTTTTCCATTATTATTCTTGTTAGATGCACAGAAAGCAAGAACAGCATCATTATTAAATTCTTAGACTTGATACAAGAACTATGTTTGTAGTAATCTTGATAACACTTGATGCTTGCCTAGTGCAGATTTCTGCAAAACCAAGATCAACGTCAAACCAAAAGATCAAGATTTTTTGCCAAGAGAAGTTCATTTCGAAAATGCGACACCATTTATTGAAAAAGAAATGCCATTCAAAACTTTCCATTCAGCCTGTCCAATATATGATTGGTCTTAAAATCACCTACCTGGAACTGTATGTAAATGGCAGCATCAGCCTGCCACCATGTGCAACTGCCAGAACAAAAGTCTGCTAAAAATACTGGAAGTGGTTTTGAAAAATCGATGCCAATTCTTGGAATTTCAGACACTTAAATATATTCAAAACCCTGATTAAATCAATAGAAATTTCACTCGCAAGGGCTGAGCATTCACATATGCAATGGCTACATCTCATCGGGAATCTAGGCCAAATTGCTTTTGAAAATCTCAGCAGGGTGCTTATTTACATTTTTGGCATCAGAATACTTTTAAAAATACGGTGGCAAGGCTGCCATCCATCAAACCCTTCAGCAGGTGCTGAGATTTTATGCAAGCACCTGGCTGAGTTTCTGTATTCACATGCTTAAAATTTACCATGTGCTTGGAAGATCAGAGACCTCCTCTGCAGGTTTTATTCCCTCAGGGTTATATATTTTAAAACTATGGATTTGCTTAGTCCGCACACAAACAGAAGCTGACACACTGTATGGTTTCCTCAACCACATCACTGAAACTTTAAAAGCAATCCATAAAAGTCAGATAATATTTAACAGAGGGGATTATGGAAAAGCCATTTCCAAATGAGAAAATTGCATTCGTGTTTGTTATCTGCTGTCTCCCCTTCACATATATTATGACTACATATTTATTTTTCTAGTGCTACTAGAGAGATAGTGGAAAGAAACTTGTTGGGTTTTTTTCCTCCTCTATAAAGATTGTCAGCAGCATTATCTTAAAGGTGCTGGATGCTATATTGCTTACAGTATTACCAGCACAAATATATATGATCATAAGCCTCAAGGCATAGGACTCAAAGGATAACTGTGTTTTCTGCGGCTCCTATAACCTGCTTGTTTTTGCTGAGAAAACAGGACGAGCACTGTGTGTGCTCACGGGGGATAGAGAAGTTGCATTACGCCAGCCTCCTCAGCCGCTTGCAGAGAGTGAAGGAACAGACCCAAGTGATTAATCAAGCGATGGCTGAGCTTGCAACCATCCCCTACCTGCAGGACATCAGTCAGCAGGATGCCGAACTGGTAAGTATTTATTTCTGATACTTGTTTTGGCCTTTAGAGGCAGGGAGCCAGGGAGAAAAGGGTTGGGGCAGAGCAGCCTGCTGCAATCTGCCCTGGAATTCGTTTTTCCAACATGCAGACCTGAAGTAGTTTTAAAATCCAACTGCAGTGCCTTGTCAGAGGAGGTGCTAATCACCTGCAAGGATGACTTTTATAGAACCAACATGACTCATCTGTAGGCATATTTTTAAAACCTTTTCTTTTCCCCCAAACGTCCCCAAATCAGTCTGGAAAAATGATTGCAATTATTCAGATCACACTACTTTAAGACATCTAACATCAGAAACCACCTGCAGCAAAAACAGGCCAAATCCAGTTAAAGCCAAGGAGATGGGGGGAAAGGAGAGAAGAGGTGTTCATTCCTGGCTCCATCTACAGCCTGCTCCATGTCTCTGAATAAACCCATCTACCTGCTATGCTCCTGTTTTCCCTCTGTAAAATGAGGGCAGTGATGCTGTTGCAAGACTAGAGGTGCATTAATAGCTTTATAGTGTATCAATAACCTACAATCATAGTGCCGCATGGTTGTTCTTCCACAAGGGTTTCCTGATGAGGAGGAAGGGAGCTCGTGTACATGCAAATTTTAAGCATCTCATTCTGGCAAAAAAAAAAAGTCCCTCCAGAGCCCCTGCATTTAAATGCAATCCAATTTTGCTGATCCAACTTCGGTTCACTTAAAACTCTGGTTTTCCCAAAGCTGGTCCCTTGACATTTGTTTGCAGCCCTGCAAACATCCTAAGCTCTGCAGAATTAAAGCTTCACAGCAGCTTGCTTTAGGGAAGGCAAGCAGCGGCCTGCAACTGCAGGAGGTGGTTGCCAGACTTTGAAGTCTGGGCTCAAGATAAGGGGAAACAACATTGCAAAGAAACTGTGTTCTTAAAAGGCATTCTCCTTTTGATGCAAGTTTTCTAGTATTAAACTTCAGCAAGGCCACATTTCAAGGCTGACTAAAGGGTCTTGAGTTATTGGTACATATTTCACTGTTAGGTTTTTCTCCAGGGTGCAATATTTTCAGTACATCACACATCAGGCACAGGCCATTACACTGTTCCCTGTATCTTGTCATGTAGTAATCATGAGCCTGACCTCACTGGAAAGCTTTCTGGGGAAGGCTCTAGGCCAACCGAGACAAAGGTCTTTGGCCTCTTAGGGGTAGGAATGGGCAGCACGAGGGTTCATGCTGGGAGATTTAAGTGACAGATTGTAGATCTTTCAACAAAAAATATGCTTTGTTTACTGAGCCCAAGGTAAAAATGTTTTTTAAAAGAACAAAAGGAGAAAATCTCTACCAGCTCTCCCATCCAGAGCATTAAAATGTATTAATTCAGCATTCATTTATTTTTGCTTTGTCCTGTCATCCTCCTGTAAAATATATCTGCAGTCTATGTGCACAAATGGAAGCTCAGATGCTGAATATTACTAGAATATTTAAGTAAAGTTCAGGCACCACGGTGTTAAGACTGCAAGCAAGACCTTGAAAAGTGGCTTCACCAGGGAGTGATTAATGGGTTTTATCTTTCCTGGTGGCACCAACCCACATGGCGCTGGCTCCTCTTGTGCCAGTAGGGACCATTTCCCTACCACGTCACAACTGCATCAAGCACAGAACGCTGCTGCCCACCACTGGGTCTGCACACCCAAACCATCCAGAGACCGAGCAAAAGAACCTGATTTGCTCAGCCTATCTGTCATCCTCCTCATTTCACTGGGGTCCAGGCAGGAGGAAACATTTGTGGATGCTACAGAGGGAGCTGTCCAACTTCATGGGATCAGGATTGCAGCACCCATGCTGACGCCATTTGCTTCTCACACTTCAGCAACATTTCTAAGAGATAGCTACATTTTTCCATGAAGAAAACAGGTGGCCAAATTCTAATCTCACTTGTACTAATAAAAATTTAAAGTAATTCCTCTGAGGTCATTCTGAATTTACATTGGTAAAACTGAGGTAAGACTTTATGACCAAGCAAAGCAGCTAAATTGTGCGAGTTAGAAAAATGCTAAAGATGCCAAGTGTTTATTATCACATCCAGTATAAGTTGTATAGAGTTTAAAACGCACTGGATTTATTAAAGTGCAATTTGCACTGATACAGCAAGGATCCCAAAGGCATATCAGTTATAAACTCTTCTGTGTAAATGTCTTCCTGTAACTGAATAAATAGAGTCCTAATCTATGGCACAGATAACCTCAACTGAGGTCTTTTTAGATGAGTATTTATTCACAGACCCTGGGAAAATAAAGATTTCAGTTAGCTTGAACAGTTGAAGATAAGTGAGGAAAATCTTTCCAAGGTTTATGATTTCAACATCACTATATTTGTATATTATATATCAAGAAAAAGCTTGTTTAAAAGAGCAGAAATTATTTCATTATAAAATCAAATGAATACAAGATATTCTTAAAAATGCAGCTTTTTTCCTTGGAGGGAATTTAAAACATAACAAAACAAAACAAACAAAACAAAACAAAACACCATCTTTGAGAGAGTTTGCCAACTGCCCACTCTTGTAGCATGTGCTTTTTCTCTGCTGGTGAAAAAACTTTGGGTCATAAAAATTAAAACCAGAGCTCCCACTGGGCACTTTTCACTGGGACGTATCATTATCAGTAAAACTTTAATTGGAAAGGTTTCTTGTTTCAACTTCTTGCCCAAAGCAGTGAGGTCCCCATCCTGGTTGGGCTGTCAGAGCAGTCCCTTGGCTCTGGTCCCTGCCCTGGTGGCTGCTGTGCAACCAGTTCATCAGAAAGAATCCCTCCAGAAAAAGCACTGGGGAAATCCTCCCCTTCCCCTGACTAGTTCCTCCTCTGCCCAGTTTGACGCAGGATGTGTGCTTTGCCCATTCTGCCCTTAATACCCTTAATCTCTGGGCTGTGTCTATTCTGGATTCATAGGAGGAGATTATCTGTCATAAAAATATTGTGATGGAAAATTTCTGACAGGTTCTTGACTCTGTTTGTATTCAAGTCAGAGGCAGAAATTTGCAGTTTTGTTTTTCATTAATACTGATGCATGACCAAAAAAAAAAACCACAAAAAAACAGCAAAGAGTTTTCATAAAATATTTGGACCGATAATATTCTACTTAATGGCTGCACAAGCACAAAGTAAGCAAGCTGGAACTGACCACAGCAAATTTATTTAGAGATTCAAAAGAAGATTCCTACATCCTTTGTCCAGTGTTGGGACACAGATAATTTTAACTTCAAAAACCTGAATGCAAAGGTAAACTCGAGGAAATACAGATCTGCTCCTTGAACCTCAAGACAGTATTTTTATATCTTGTGCAGATGAGCCTAAACACTGGTGTTTGAAATTTCATCACTTTATGTACTTGAATTAGCCTGCTGCCCATCTAGGTACAGAAAGAAGAGACAATGTCTCTATGAATGCTTATGCTTATACTGTCCAATTACCTGTAATGAGTGACATATTTGGGAAGAGACATCAAAAACATCACTTTAACCAGCTAAACATTTTGGAATAGACTTAACAGAGCACAGCAATTTCACAGATATTAAATACAAGTTTCTCCCAGTTTGTTCCTAATCCTGAATCAAGAGCAACTGAAACATATTCAAGCATTTTGGAAGGGAGCAGGGTGAGGCAGTGCTACGACCGACCTGAATTTTAGCCTTCCCTCTAACACTAAGAACTGATTAGCAGGTATTTTCCTACAGCTTCTTTTTATAGTTTACACTAGAAACTGTCAGCCTTGATTTTATGCTATGTTATGCTGAATGATAGGGCAAAGGGAGAGTTTGCCAAAGAAAAAGGATAGTAAAAGCAGAGAAAGTGAGCTAGATACTTCCAACTACAGTAAAAGCATCTCAGCTTTAGTGTTGTCCTCTTGTGAGGTTTTACATGCTGCCTTAAATTATGATACATTAGCCTTGGGAGAAAATACTAAAAAGCATTCATGTACGACACAGTATCTCAGACAGCTAAAGAATGAAATATGGAGCCTTTATTCTTTACAACCCAAGTCTTCCTTTACTGAGTATAAACATTTACTGCATTAAAATGTATAGGCTTAAATACAAATTTTCCAAAGGATTTTTTCCCATTGTTAAGTATTTTATATCCACAATAATATAGTGTAATGGCTGAAGCAAAGATGAGGTGGCAGTGCTCATTGTGTGAAAGATGAGTAATAAAATCATCAGCGTACAAATGATTTTTTAATTAGGTTTTAATCTGTGTATTTAGAGAAGTTATTTCTGTGTGAATTCCACACTGATAATTTTTATCTTGGTGCCACAGCTGCAGTCGCTAATGGCAGATGCCATGGACATCCTTGAAGGAAGAAGTGATAAAGGACGTGTGTGGAATCAAATTCAGAAGGTAAAAACCTGCAGCAAAGGGCAGGAGATTATATTGTTCTTTGGGGAGTAAATGTCCACCTGAGCCATATTTGTCCAAAAGGTGGAAAAGAAAGTAGGTGCCATATGAAACTTGACTTTGTTAGTGCTCAAGCACTACCCACACATACATATTTATTATTTGCTTTAGCCCCTGTGGTTGATCTTTGTCCGTGTTAATAGTCTCATGTGGTTAACCAAAAAAAAAAAAACACCACCAAACCTCTGAATAGCTTATTTTCAGCTGATAATTATATTTCTCTTCCATCTTTGTCATATGGGGTACTGTGCTAATTGGGTGGGGGCAGGGAGAGTTGTTAAGAAATAACATTCAGCCCAACAAATTAGGTCCCTTAGTGGAGCTCAAATGAGGCTTTGGTGATACGAGAGGCAAAAGACATGTAAATGCCTTTCTGGAGTCTCTGCACAGCAACCAGTCAATTTAATTCTTAAAGGATTTGTGAAATGCAGGAAGTCTTGTATTGGTTCTCTGTACAGATGAATCGGACCCGACATGATGACTAATAGGTCAGGCCGGGATGTAATAGGAGTTTCTTACATTTTTAAAAAGCCTTTCAAACCAGAGCAAATCACAGCTCTGGGCATTCAACACCACTGACATTCAGGCACTTCTGAGGACAAGGATAGCAACACATCACCAGGAAGGGAATTAGTGTTGCTAATGGTTCAAAGCATTGGTCTTACAGCTCCATCAGATCTCAGATGGATGCGCACTTGCTCTGGGTTGTGGCTGTGGTGGGAGGCTGGAGAACAGAGGGTTTGAATCTCTGCTCTGGGGGGGGACTTGAAATCATTCCCCTTTGGGAGTTTGGGTTTAGAGACAGACCGCAGAGAAGGTACTCTAAACCCAAACCTCAGCTGCACTGAGTCAGTGTAAGCAAATAAGACAGAGATGTCTGAAACAAATCACAGGGATGGAGGATCAAGGCACTTTCAGAGTCCATACAACCAAGTTTTAATTTAAATTTGATTTGAATTAAAGTTTCAGAAGGCATCTCCTCCGTCTGTAGGTGTATTGCCTGGGTTAGCTGTCAGATCAGTGGCTCTTACTAAAGTTTTACAAGTACGGAATGTTTTCAGAAAGTAATCAAAACCTAAATGCCCCAAATTATAGGCAGACTGGGTTTCATCTCTTTCAAATGCTCGTGAGGCCAAACAAAGGATAAATATTCATAGTGCTTTTATATCACACCGGAGTAGTCTCTGAATCTCTGACACTTAACTACAGATCGCATAAGAATCTTCTGCAACATAACTGCTAAGTATCATATTCAGTTATACCTATTTATATAATTACATACATATTTCCTGCCATACATAATAAACATTGATAATAAGATAAATGCAGAGTCAACAATATATTTACAAATAACCTGTTCCCCATACTTCTCTAGCACTTATCCTTCCTGTTTTCAGACAATAGAAGTTTTCCAGACAGATTTCCAGAAAGTCAGGATCTTAATTCAGTTAGGTGCTTGAACAAACAGCCTGATTTTCACAGGTCTGAGCAACCACAGTTCAGAGGCTGCTGAGAAAGGATCACGCCTGAAAGTTAGACCAAGTGCACAGATATTTAAATATTTATTAAAGGCTCATTAAATTTTGTTGGTGGTACCAAAAAGATTCCCATGTATTTCAACAGACATTGGCTAATATTTCATTCTAAATTCAGGAAAACAAAGTATTTTCTTTTGGTGTATTCATACGTGTGTATATACCTCCTTTACGTTCCTCTGGATACTTTTACTTTCAGGATAATCTTAATGGAAATCAAGCTAACATTTAAAAATGGACTGATATCTCATAATATGCCACATGAATCTGTGCATAATTCAATATTCAAGAATAAGATTTACTGAATCCATTAAAATCTGCTCCCTGCCATTTTAAAAACTTTGTCCTTCAAAATATGTTTGCATTCTGAACCTAGTTTTGCATTTCATTTCTGACAACTTGAATAACTATTTGATTTGAAGCATCTAGTTCCAAGTGGAACTTGCTGTTTCATAATACAAAAAATATTTTTCTATATTATATCAGAACAAAGAAATTAAAAGCATCACTAAATACTTCTTTTCTATCTTTTTTCCCCCCAAAAATTGATTTCAGCAGATTCAGCATGTTCTTATAAAAAATACTTTTTTAATAGAGAGGAGAGGAAAACACTCAGGGAGCTTGGGAGGTATTTTGTGAGGTTTTTTTGGTTGGTTTGTGGTTGGGTTTTTTTTTTAAATCAGCTCTTATTAAGAATGTCATGCTAGGTTAAAGAATTCTAATACATTACTAAAATGGAGGATTAAATCTGATGATTAAAAGTTGATGTGGCGTGGATTACAGTATGTCACTTGTGCTAGAACCGTTTCAAAAAGTTCAGTATTTCTCAGTTTGCTTATTGCATGACACTGACTGTAGAAGCCTACAAAGAACCTTCACACAGATCTAACTACAAAGTAGTTATTTGTATTTTTGCTATTGAATTAATTTACATACATTGGAAAGCAAAAAAGAACATAAAGGAGTTTATATAAACAGCTATAAACACAAAACTCTGGAAAGCTGACAGCTACGCTACCACCAATGAAGTTTAGCTTTTGCAGTAGAAACAGCTGTTGCACCTAATGAAGGCACTCAACATTTTTCTCTAATGCAGCAAAATTATAGCAATTCCTATCTACCAAATGGTTAAAGGGTCTGGCAGAATTGCTGTTACAAACCACAGCTTTCAGAGTTTTATATTCTAGAATCAGACATAAAAAATTCATTCAGGCTTCAATCTGACATAGGAGCGCACAAAGCCTGACACCCAAACACTTCTCTTTATGTCACAGGGGAGGGCTTATCAAATTAGTTTGAAATTAATCTGGGCAATTTTGAATTTATAGGAGTGACAAAGTAGTAATATATGTGTAGCTTCAAGTGTTTTGGGTGCTGCGCTGCTTATCCAATTCACTGACAAATTTATGTTTTAAATGAACTAATTTATCAAATGGACTAATTGTTTTTGGAAGCTTTAAATACAAAGAAACAAAGAACAACCTCGTAATTAGCTGGAGAAAAGAGAACATCACTGCACAGAAGATACCTTTCTTGGCTTTACCAGCCTATGGACCCTTGAGCCACAAGGAAAGCTGAGCCAGGAAAGCTTAGGTTACCTTGGGAGATTAAGAAACGTCCTCCTACAGAGGCTTTACCCACGTACTAATAACCCTGAAGAATGCCTCAGAGGCTGGGTCAGTCACCCAAAAATCCCTATTTACCAGGATTTTACTGACACTTTTCCTTGCAGTCCCCTGGATAAAATGTAAGCTTTGTATTAACAATCTGGGAAAACAAATACCTTAGTCTAAGACCTTTCAAGCAATTAACAGAGGGGCTGAGTCCCCAGAAAGTTTTTACTAGCTCCCTTATTTTTACAGCAGTCTTGCCAAACTGAACTTGCTGGTGGACAGACTGCTGGGCTTACAGAGGATTCAGGGCACCATACGAGGGTCTAGGAATTTTGGTTTTAGTTACTGGGTCTGTCCAAATTGTGCTCTAGGTTGAGTCGTGAAGGTACTTAAATATCACACCATCAGCATTTCATAAGAATGGACTTCTCTGAAGCCACCCTTATGAATGGGAAGCGTTCCTAAAATAGTCAATAGAAAACACAATGTGAAAGAGCATCAAACTCCCTCTTTTAAAGAAGCTTAAGTCTTCACCAGTTAACAGAAGTAGCAATGTATTTTTGCTTACTGAATTTTGAAGTGTAACTTCTCTTAATTCAAATTATATTTGAATTTATTATTTTAAAGAGAGTGGCAGCTCAACCACTTGACCAATGACCTCCGATGCACAAGGGTCAGCAGCAACGAGCAGGAAACTTCCAAGAGAGATTGAGGGGAACTAATCTGATAATTCAACTCGGTCCAGCCACTGGGTCTTAAGCAAGTTGGGGCACAACTGTAAGAGCCAGATCCGGCCATTATTGATTGGCTGCTCTGCTGACAGGGTTAGGTATGATGTAAGTGAAATATGTCGTGAATATGAATGCTTAGACTGTCCGTAGAGTTTGGCCCTGAGTAACTCAAGGAACCTGGTCTCTGCATGGCCACTGCAGGACTCTATAGCAGCTACAGACTGGCAGAGAGGTTTAGAGGATCTCAGGTACAGAAAACAGCAGGAAGGCTCTCGCTTTCCTCTATAGAGCCTTTGCCTCTCTGCAGTCTTGCAAGAGGAAAAAAAGAAAGAAATAAAGAGAGATTACTTTTCTAGCTCACAAGAGTAAATTCATTAATAAAGTCTCACAATAGGGTTACAGTGAGAGGCATTTCATTAAATAAATAGACACTTTAGAGCCTGTCAACCATCAACTTTTGACATCCAAACAGAGGAGAGCCAAATAAGTGCAAGTGCCAGTATGGCTCTGCTTCCCTTATGAAGATAATAACGTAGCTCTACTTCTCTCCTCCGTTTAGCCCCTAGGCTTTCATAGCAGTTTCATAGGAGCCTCTTAACATCATTTGAACAGCCGAAGGAAAGACAAGAGTTGGCAAATAAACACTTTCCTACACTTCCACATGTGAGACACTTCATAAAACCTTCACATCTGAGTTTACCTCAAGGGCATCACATACTTTGCAATTTAGATAAGTTATTATGCCCATCATTTGCTGAGCTCAGTGGAATGCCTGTTTCATAAATCTGAAAGCAGAGCAAACATGGATGAGTGAATAAAAGAACAGATGTAACTTACATAAGGATAAGTATATAACAAAAGCTGCACTAATATATGTGAATATGAAATGAAGTAAAATTAGCCTAACATATTATATAATCTTTTAGCCAGGCACACAGATTTTCAGCTGTTGACCTCTGCTTGCCACATCTCTGCCTTCCACAACAGCAGAGGAACACTCTCTGATGAACTGTGCTCTTCCACTGACATTACCTCTTAATTGAAAATCAAGCCATGGAAAAGGG